CGCGTTTCATCGTTGGTTCGCGGTCTGGGCTTTCAGTTCACGGCCGTGAACTAAGACCGTGAACAGAGCCTGATCTGGGTATATAAAGGAGGTTGAGCCAAAGGAGAAAAGGGAGATACCTAGTGTGAGAAACTTCTTCTTCTTCATATTTCTAGAGTGAGAAAGAAAGTGAAGAACCAAAGAAGAGGAGAAGCGAGGGTTTCATATTTAAGCAAGGAATTGAGAATTTCTCCCCCAAAGGAGGATCTCTTCAACACAAGGAGCAAGGCTAGCATCTCTTTGATGGTTTCCCTTCTTCTCTTTTGTGTTTTCCCTTGTCCTAGCATGGAGTAGTCCCTTCTTTTACTTGGGTGTTTGTAAACCCTAGCTACAATTATGTGAATGCTTGTATGGATTGAATGATTTGTGTGTGGTTGTGTTTAATGTTAGTATGGAGGTATTATTCATGAATGATTGTGTTGTGTGAAAGCCTATCAATCTAATTGCCATTCTAACCTAGGTAGAGAGAAAATCCCTATTCCTTTCTTTGAAAGAGGCTTAAATGCTGGGTTTTCTTAGGCAATTCATTGTCCCCTAGTTAGGTTAATGCAGGGAAACCTCCTATTTCGTATCAGCTCCTAGGGTTTCGTTGTGGGTGGCCGTTCGAACTCCGATTCGAGGGTGAAGTCTAAGCAATACTTAGTCAATAGGTCGAGAGAGTCATGTTGGTGGCTTGGATCGTATCCCCTTTCCTCGACCTAGAGACTAAGAAGTGGCGCTTGGCTACTTGTTACACTTCCCTATGGTTTACAACCCCCTCACCACACACGCCCATTGGATGTGACAAGTCGTACTTGCTAGCTAGGAGGAGCACCGGTGAACCCTTCTCAATTAGTGTCAAATCCATTTATCTTTGCTAGCACTTTAGCTTTAGATTGTTGTTTTCACCAAAAACCAACCGTTAGATAATGTTTCAAACAATCAAAGTAGGGGTGCATGAACCAGCCCGGGTCGATATTTAAACATACTTTCCATGTACTACACCCGGTTAAGTTTTATACTTTGGAAGTAATAAGGAGTTTGAAAGTGGTTCATTCGGGTTAAATTCCTTTTTTGGCGCCCTTGCCGGGGAACCAGCGGTTAATTATTTTGAAAAGATTTTTTGGTGTTAATCTAGCTTTTAATTTTCATTTTTGCGTGCGCAAAATCTTGTTTGTGCTAAATGTGTTGTGGTTATTTTGAGTGTGTGTAGGGAGGTGTATGACCCGGAGTAATCCGACACCTTTGGCGCCACTAGACGAGGATCTCAACCGCACTCTACAACACTTGGATCGTGAGAGGAAACTAGCGGAGGCAAGAAGGAGGATATAAGAGGAAGTTGTACTTGAGAAAGGGGTTAATTCCGAAGAAGAAGGAAGAGAAGCCGATATGGAGGCTAATCAACCCGCTCAAGGAGTGTCCGCGGAGGAGCAACCGAAGACCATGGGCTATTACATGGCTCCAAGGTTGGCAGATATTCAACCCGCCATTCGACATCCACCTGTGGCCGCCAACAATTTTGAGATCAAGCCCTCCCTTGTCACCATGATTCAAAACAATGCCCTATTTCATGGGCTTAGCAACGAGTCTCCAAGGAGCATATTCAGAAGTTCATTGAGCTTGCGGGGAGTTTGAAGATCAATGGTTTCCCCGAGGATGCTTTGAAGTTGAGGCTATTCCCCTACTCTCTTGCGGGGGAATACGTCTCGGTGGCTCAACAATAGGATGGCTCTCTCGATCACTTCGTGGGATGATATACTCAACAAGTTTATGACTCAGTATTGCCCACCTTCAAAGACAACGGAGTGGCACAAGAAGATGACCCATTTTGAGCAAGAGGAAGATGAGATATTAAGGTATGCTTGGGAAAGATACCCTGATTACTTCCTCTGATGCCCACATCATGGATTCAAGGAGCAGTTCCAGATTGAGAGCTTCTATGGCGGTCTCCACCAAGGCGACAAGATCCTCATTGACTCCTTATGTCAAGGGAAATAGATGAACATGACTCCACCCCAAGTGACCAAGTTTCTTGAAGACATGGCAAGTAAAGGGTATGATTTAGTCCCCCGCTTGAAGCCAAGAGCGATCGTTTGATTGAGGCACTCCTAGAAGACAAGAAGCATGGGAAGAGACCGGTGATGGCATGTGATTGGTGTTCAAGTAACAACCATGAGATTTTGGATTGTCAAATGATGAATGAATCAAGCACTGCCAAGGAGCAAGTGAGTTTCATTGCCAATTCTATGGGGAACAACCCCTATAGCAACACTTACAACCCGGGGCGGAGAAATCATCAGAATTTCTATTGGTCTTCTACGACCAATCCAAGACCCCTGGTTTCCAAGGACCAACGGGAAATTATCAACCAAGGCCTACGTTCATTCAACAAAGGACTCAATTCCAAGGCTCTAACTTCCAACGACCGTTTCAAGCTCAAGGAGGTCAAGGGTTCCAACAACCCGATAAGTTTGCAAAACTTGAAGACCTTGTGACGATCTTTGTGAGCATGAGCACTCAAAAGTTTGATAAGATTGAGAAATTTATGGATGTGGCAACAACAAAGTTTACCTCGGTTGAGGTAAGATTAAGGATCCATCAAGCAAGCCTTCAAAACTTGGAGGTGCGAATTGGCAATCTTGTCGGGATTCTCACCGAGAGGCCAAGGGGAGCCCTAACCTCTCAAACCATTGTTAACCCCAATGACCAAAATGTCGGTTGCAATGCAATTCTTTTGAGGAGTGAGAAGGTTACCCCGGAGGTTGTTCCCAAAGAAGTGAATGAAGAAGAGAAGACCCCTCTCCATCATCCAATGATCCCGAAGAATTGGGAGAAAAGGAAGAAGAGCTTAAGGAGGCATTGCTGACGCCACCACAAGTGGCTGAGTACAAGCCTCCTCTTCCTTTCCCTACAAGGATGCACAAGGACCGATTGGAGGCGGAGTGTGGAGGATTCGTGGAGATGCTCAGGAAACTCCGCATCACCATTCCGTTCTTGGAGGCCATGGTGCATATGCCGAGGTACGCCAAGTACCTTAAGGGGCTTCTCGCCAAGAAGCTGAAATATGAAGACCTCGCCAATGTCATCTTGGGCAAGGAGTGCTCCGCCTTTATCCTTAACAAGTTGCCTAAAAACAACCGGATCCAGGTAGTTTCACTATCCCCCTTTGCATCGGAAATTATCATATAGAAAACTCCTTGGCAGACTTAGGAGCGAGCATTAATGTGATGCCTTACAAGCTTTTTAAGAAGTTGCATTTGGGTGAATTAAAGCCCACTAGGCTTAGTGTCACATTGGTCGATCGCTCTGTCATTAGTCCTAGGGTATTGTCATAGTGTCTGCACTGACATCGCCTTCCTCTTCTTTAACCTCAGGGTCGCTAACTGGACTTGGATTGACATCTTCCACCTGATCAAGATCATGAAAGGCACCTTCATCAGCTCAGTAATGGTAGTTGTGGTAATTACCGCCGCCTTGGTAGAGGTTGTACTCGGGTTGGTACTGGTATCCTTCTTGTTGGTTCCCATCCGCCTGTTGAGCTTCTTCTTCATATGCTGGGAAGGATTGATGATGACCTCCAGTTCCATCATGATACTCCTGGCACCAGCTCGGGTCTTGGTACTCCTGGTGGGGATGATCTTCGTATAATCCACCCCCACCGTGGATACCATATATTTGGGCATCTCCAGAATGACCTTCACCGCCTTCAATTGCCTCGGTGTAAACGAACATCTCCGCTTGTTTAATGTTATTGGTGGTCAAAAATTGGACCATGGCATCAACGTCCCTAAGTGGTAATGAGGAATTCTCATTCCACAACGACCCGCCATGTCTGTTTGGATATCGATACACCATACGATCAACTCTTCTAGTGTCATCCATGCAGGTAACCTCAGTACACATTTGACGGAGCTCTTCAAGCATCGGTCTCGTAGTCACCTTCATTTTATAAAAATTGCCACCGACATAACGTACCCACTTTCCGGTCTCTTCCGTGTAACCATTCCACCGTAACCCAAGCGTGAACTTTTGGAATGTCATCTGCAATAAAACCGTAATTAAGTTACTACCATAAAAATTTGAAGGTGCACAACTTAAATTTGAAGAAGAAGAAGAAGAAGAAGAAGGAGAGGAGTGAAGATTTTGAGTTTTCCGGGACTGCCTTATATAGGCAAATTTTACACTAAAACCCGCAGGGGGGAGCAGTTTTAGTTTGGCATGCAGCCCCCACCCTGCAACCTCCTGCATGTCGACATGTCGGATGTTGGTGGAATGGGGCTGAGGCACAAATCGCTGGGGGTGCGGTTTGTGCATCGACATAATAAATCGCTTGCCTGAGGGGCGGTTTATGTTGCCGACGCAGAACAGCACCCAGAGCACGCGGTTTGTGCTAGGGCAGCCATGGGAACAACTCCTTCGAAGAGCGGTTTTCCCAAAAAAACACAAACTGCTCGTTTGGCATGCGGTTCCGTGGTAAATCGCCACCTTGCAGTGCGGTTTTTATTGTAACCGCCCCTGCGTGTTGCAGTTTTCAATTAAGGGTGGTAGATTTGAAATTTTTTCGGTGTAGGTGGTAGTTTTGTAGTTTTTTTTTTTTTTAAAAAATGGTAGTTTTGGATTTTTTTCCCGAAATTGGGGGTGGATCAACAAGATTGAGGCCAAAAAGAGGACCCAGATCAGCTCTGTCCCGCTCGTAAAACGAGTGTTACCTGCCCAAAACAGGTCATCATAGATCTGTTAAGACTGTTTGAAAAGTACAATCGGAAATAAATACCCGGATTAACTAACCATCGCAGCGGAAGGAAAAGAAACGAAGACTGGCCATAATTGATTTAATGTTGCTGCGCTAATCCATCCAGCGCCAGCGGTATCACCTTGCTTGTACGAAATTCTACGAATTAGCTTACGGCCAAACGTCGCCGTTGAATCCTCCTTCCCCCAAACTCCGGACGAACGACATTAAACGCTTACGCTGCTAAAACTGTAAGAATTTAGCCGGTGAAAAATCCAAAAGTCTTATTTCATTTCGCATTTCCTTCCTTCTAATTCATTGCCTCCTCTTCAGTCGTCACCATTTCCTTCTTCTTCTTCTTCCTTCGATCTACCGACCAATCATTGACTCGCAATCTTCTTCTTCTTTCGTCGCTTCCTTTCTCATCGTGAATGGAAGCCTCTTCCTCATCACCTTCGTCGTCGTCGGTGACGGTGGCTACCGGTGATAGATTCAGACTTCATGACCGCCTGGAGTTGCTGGAATTTGCGGACAAGTACGTCGTCAAATCCTTTGAATCTCCAAATCGAGGCTTCTCAATCAGTCGTGAGGACGGAGACATCCAGCCTCTCGACGGTACGCCCCCGTTGCCCCGTTTCCTGTGTCCGGATTTGGCTTCACTTTAAAGTTTCATTTGCAAGACAAGTTTTGCTATTTATAGTATAAGAAATTTGAATTTCCGAAGTCCAGTTTTCATCATAGTTTTGCGACTTTTAAACATCGGCGGCGAGGGACTGCTTCTATATTTTCTTCTTGCACGAATTGAAGCTTACTGGTTTTGCTTACAGGTGCCGATGTTGATCCTCCGGTCCGACCGTACCGAACCTCCACAATCTACGGTGTGGCAGGAACTATAAGATTGGTTGCAGGTAAATTTGTTTTCTTGAACCTTATATTGCCTAATTGCTGTTGATTAAGCATGTGGGACGACGGTATTGATGATGGATTTCTTTGATACTCGAGCAGGCACTTATATTCTGGTAATAACCTCTCAAAAGGAAGTGGGGGAGTTCCTTGGTTTTCCTGTTTTCCGGGTAATGTCTATGCAGTTTCTGCCCTGCAACGAGGCACTGAAATTTTCCACTTCAGAAGAAGTAAGAATCTTGTACATGACACACCTTTTCAGTTGAGTTATTCGTCTGCTGATAATGCCGTGTTGCAACTTGGTTCATTGCAGAAGAGAGACGAGGCTTACTTCATGAATCTGTTGAGAATTGTGGAATCAACTCCTGGATTGTATTATTCATACGACACAGACATAACATTGAAGTAAGATCTTTTTAGCTTTCTGCTTGCTCTTTGTGTATGTTGTCACCTTAGCTCTTTGTGTGTGATTACTTGTCATAGTCACAATTTGAACAGCACCATAAGACCGGTTGATAATTTCTCAGCTTACAGAGAAGATGCAAATTATCTGATGGGTGGATGGCTAAACCGATCTGGAAGCAGGTTTGACTTTTAGTCCCTACTTTGGTTTTTGGGTCTAGATGGGATCAACACTAGATGCAATTGGCAAGATCATTGAATTCCTCTTTGCATTTCAGGCAGACCCTCGATTTGTTTGGAACCGTAATCTATTGGAGGATCTCATAGAGGCAAAGGTTAGATTTTTCCCTGTTCAGATTAGGAAATCTGATATTTCTAAGGTTGTTTTCAAGTAAAAGGAAAGAGTTGAAATGGAGTTTCTTCTAACACAAGATAATGGTTTCTGGTGGCAGCTTGACGAATTTGTTATTCCTCTGCTCCAAGGAAATATCCTTTGTTACAGTATCAAATTAACTGCCATCCTTGTTCCATTGAGATTTTTTTCCCCCTGTTTTCATTTAACTTAAGCTTACGCTTTGGAGTTGCTGAGCTAAAGCTGAAAGACACACCTGTTACATTAACTCTAATTTCAAGGAGGTGCACAAGGCGTCTTGGTATATTTCATCCAAAGATTATTCATGTTTTAATGTTACTAAGTTCCATACATATTTATAACATCAAAAGTGCTATAATGTAGGGACAAGAATGTGGAGAAGAGGAGCTAACCTTCAAGGAGACACTGCTAATTCTATTGAAACCGAGCAATTGTTGGAGACCGAAGGTTTCAGGTCATCATTTTTGCAGGTTAGCCTGGTCATGGGCACTAGTTGGAGATTGAATGATGATCAGTTTCTCAACTCGTCTCACTAGGTTTTATATCTGTCTTAAGGTGTCATGAATGCTTCTTTTGCCTTTGCAGTTTCGAGGTTCAGTCCCTCTTCTTTGGGAGCAAATTGTAGACTTAAGCTATAAACCACGACTTAGAATTATTGACAATGAGCAAACGGTGTGTTTCGAATCCCAGTGATACTATTGGTCTTTTATTATGATTTTTTTGTGTGACAGTCTCATTTATTTGTAGCTCTTTTTTTCAGCCGAAAGTTGTGGAGCGTCATTTCCTTGATCTTTCGCAACGATACGGGGATGTTGTGGCAGTTGATTTGACTGATAAAGTAAGGAAATTTCTGTTCTGCTCTCATTGAGGGTAGTTATTAGGCTGGCTGGTGAAAAATGTTACCCCTTGTAAATTGGATCTTGTGAGCATCATTTCCGTGATCTTTCTTAACAATACGGGGATGTTTTAGCAGTTGATTTGACTGATAAAGTAAGGAAATTTACATTCTGCACTCATTAAGGGTAGTTGTTAGGCTTGTTAGTAAAAAATGTTGCCTCTTCTTGTAAGTTGGATCTTGTCAGCGTACAACATATTCCATTCTGTGAAGTTTATGATCGACTGTAAAGCTCTGTTTTACCTTGTTCTTGCAAACTTATTGCATATCTGTTTGGTCTACCCCTGCAGCATGGCGATGAAGGTCTTCTAAGTGCTGCATATGCTAATGAAATGAAAACGCTTCCAAGTGTGAGGTGGAATTTTCTTCTTCTTTCCATCTATCTATTTGATTCTGGTCAGTCTTGAATAAGGAATAGAGCTATCAGATGATTTTGCTATATTCTCTCTTAAGCTCTATGTCAGATTTAAATTCTGACTGTTTCAGAGTTCTCTCTTACCAATTGTTATAATCTTAGTTAGGCAGTGCATGATGATACGCCTAGTCAAACCTAATTAAATGAAGTGCATGTTTCAATCATTTCTATACTTGCTGCAGGTATTGCTCATTTGACTTTCATCATTTCTGTAGCAACTCAAACTTTGACAAACTACAGATTCTATATGATCAGGTCTCAGAGGATTTTGAAAAGCAAGGGTAAGTGTAAAGAAACCAAAGTGGATATACTAATCTTGATTCATTATTTGAATATAAAGAATAGCTGGAGTCATGGCTACCGGTAATTCCACTGTTAATCATTACTGTTCCAGCTGAGCAGATACTTCCTAGTAGACGATGCAGACGGGGAAATACTAGAGGAACAGAAAGGTATTATCAGGTCAAATTGCATTGACTGCCTTGATAGAACAAACGTCACTCAGGTTGGTGAAAATAATCTATTCTTTCACCATTTTATGTAATTTGATCGGTAGATAAGTGTAGTAATTCTCATGCTTGGATTTTGGTTTCGAACAGAGTTTTCTTGCCCAAAAATCTTTGACAATACAATTACGAAGAGTTGGTGTTCTTGGTCCGGATGAGAGCTTTACCAATTTTAGCAAGGAGTATGGGAAGTTCAGAACATGTATGGTACTCCTATCTATGCTTCTCCTTAATTATCTGATGATTCGAGGTGGGAAGTCTGAGTATTATCGGCTATTTCTGAAATGATTAACAACCAGTGTGGGCTGAGCAAGGTGATGAGATAAGCCTTGGATATGCTGGAACTCATGCCTTAAAAGGGGACCTTGTAAGGTATATACTGATCAATCAATGTTGTATACAGTTATTATCTATCCCTTGAATTGCAACATTATTAGTTTATAATTCTGGCATTGGATGTAGATATGGAAAGCAAACTTTAGGTGGCATGATTAAAGATGGGATGAGTGCCCTTTCAAGATACTACTTGAACAATTTTCAGGATGGAGTCCGACAGGCAAGCTCTATCTCTTACACTTTCACCTCAATTAAATTCCTTTTTTTGTGCCACCCCAAGGATCTGACCTTTAAACAGGGTCATCATACTTTGAAGTTAATATTAGAGGTTATCAAACTCTTTGACATGATCTTACGGTCAATAGGCTCTGATACTATGACTATATGTGCAAGAACGAATCTTACACTCCCCCTTTACAGTACGGATATGGGAGGCCTTTGGTTATTGAAATCTAACACCAACATATTTTATTTTGCTGCAGGATGCTCTGGATCTTATAAGTGGCCGCTATAGCGTGAGCAGACAGTCCCCTTCGCCATTCCGGCTCAATGGATTTGAATCTCTCTCTGTAAGTAACACCGTTCTTCTTTTTCTACTTTAGCCTTTCATATTGAAAAGTTGTCCATTTTTCCAGTAGTGTTTATTTTGATCCTTCCTTGCTGAATATTGAGGTGTCTAACGGGCAGAGTGAACTCCCACAGTATCTCCCAGTAGCATCAGCCTTGCTCATTGGAGGATTGACAGTAACATCTTTCACGCTCCAACAGGGTAATTTTGTGCTGCACGCTTTCTGTCTCCCTGCTGATTGTGAGGGAAGTTAACATCATCAAACCCCGTTGCTAATGTGTTCCTTTCTGTATGTATGTATGTATGTATGTATGTTCAGCGGGGAGAAATGCACAGCAGTACTTATCGACAGTACTGTGGGCCGGGGTGACCGCCGGAGTAATGGCGGCCGTGAAAGCAAATGGGAGGCAGTTCTGTTCCAGGCCTCGCTTGTGTGGCCTTCTCTGAGAAATAAATAAGCCAGTGGTAGCTAGCAGGAACCAAGGCACACGTCATCTCTGCCAAATGGTTAAATGTTGTATAGAAGCAAAAATTGGAGAATAAAAGGGCATGTGGAATAAGAACATCCCAATGTATGTTTGCTGTATTATTTCCTGGAACTCAGGGGTTAGAAACACTGAAAACTAGTGACGTCATGGTCACGCTGTGGAGTTGGAGTGCTAAATTTTGGGGAGGAAGGGGCAGTTGGTGAACTGTAGGTTTTCGTCAGGTTATGTTTGAGTGGAACTGTGGAAGGAATCACAAAGGTTCAACGAATATAGATGAGTTGTGTCATTTCGGATTACAGGACATTGAGGACGTCGGACGTCGGGCGGGTCGCTACCGTTTGCCTAACATGAATTTTAAACCCTGGGGAAGAAATTTGAGGGAGAGAAAATTGGAAGGGAGTGGAAATCATGAGAGGAATGGTATTTTAAGAGAAAATAGTGGGTGGGAAAAATATGTTCAAAAAGGTTAGGTTAATATGCAAACTCCTTTTATTATGTAGAATTTCACAACTCAATTCTATCTCGTTATTTGGTTCATATGAGTTAGGGATTTTTGGACAGCTGGCGTGGTTTTGGAGAGCTGAAAATGAACTTGCCAGGATTATCATATGATACTTTAAGAAAATTTTACAACTTCTCATTGATTTTCAATGAATCATATTTCATTCCTTTCAATTTGTATTTCAAAAATAATTGCCTAGAAAAATCAAAATTTGCTACACAAGATGACATTCATTTTGGTATTTGTGGAAGGAAACTTTTCTTACATCATCTTACCACTATGGTAATTCCAATGAAATTTTGCAGCATGGTTAATTCAAACACAAAATTGACACTCTTACCTTTTGTTGGGAGTGTGGCGCTGACGCATGCGCGTCTGTGGCAAGTCTACAGTTTGGTCGCGCGAAGACTTACGCGCGGCACCAAATCCTACCTCGCTTCCGCGACTAAGCGGATAAGACGTGCGAGAAACGCGGAAGACAGAAAGAGGCTAGGAGCGAGTGGAAAGCACGCGCTGAACATGGCAACCGACGATACGACGCCGTACTGACACCTAGTCACTTCCCAAAAGGGTTCGAGGGAAGAGTCATCGTCATGTCTCATCCAAAATGTCCCATCGTGTGTAAAGCTCACCCACCCAAAGAAAGGCTATAAATAGAGCCTTCACTTCGGTGGGTGAGAGGGGGGATTTCTGGACTCTCGCTCTATAAACTTGATATTCTCTTTGTAGAAAATATTCTCTCTCCCTCCCATCCTGTAACCTGACATACAACTACAAGTGTAATAAAATCAGTGTTCAAGAAGACACGCCTAGGCGCGCACCTAGGCGCGATTCATAGCTGGGCATGGAGAATTCTTGGAGTTTAGGGCTGGGCGTAGAAAACGTTGAATGGCGATAAAAAACGCCTAGGCGCGTTTAACGACGAGGAGTCGTGATTGTGGGCTTCTGGGCGACGCCCAGAAAAGAGAAGAGGGAGATGAATTTTTCGGTGTTGTGCGTTTTAGGAGGAAGGCCTGAAAAAGGAAAAACCATATCTCCAATTACAGACAGCGAGAAGCTCTCACTCTCTAGTCTCTACAGTCGCCGTCGCTCTCCCTTCTCTCCAGACCGCCATCGTTCCTCTCCCTCCTCTCCACCCAGCCGGTCGTCGTCCCTCTCTCGCCTCTCCAACTAGTCGACCACCAGCGTTCCTCTCCACCCAGCAGACCACCATCATTTCAAGTCGCCGCCTCGTCCTCTTCTTTTGCCAATGAAGCAGACAGATTTGGAGAATCAGGGGGTCGTCGTTACCGCCTCGTTCTCGCCTCCTCGTCCTCGCCATCGGTCTCCAAAAGAAGTTCCCTCCATTGAAGGTACTGCTTCTTTCTCCTTCGAGCTTTGATATGTCTAGGGTCTTGCTGGTCTATCTCTATCTTTTTCTTTTCTCAAAATTTCCCTCTAATCCTCTATTGAAGGCCTACTGGGAAGACGGTTTTGGGGGTGGAAAGGCCTGTTGAAGAAGAAGATGAGGCAAGGGAGAGCAGATGGTATGTTGGATTGAGATTTGTAGGCATGAGTATGGTGGATTAAGGGCTTCTAAGGTCGATTTTTTTCACGTTTAATCTCGCCTAGGCGACGATTAATCGCCCTGGGCGTTGGGCGGTGCTTCCCCGCCTAGTTGACGCCCAGCGTCTTCTTGAACATTGAATAAAATCGGATCTTACTCACACCCATCCTCACGTGTCTCACTCCTACTCTTAGTCAGACACAAACACCTTTAATTTGAATTTTTGTGTTGCCTTCTCTCTTCCTCCGGCCCTCCTCTTTTGACTTCAGGGTCCTGTCGTCGGCTCCCTTCTGGTGACCGACAGTGGCACAATCTCCCCCCCCCCCCCTTCATGTTTTTTCATGCTTTGTTCTATAGCCTTTGATATGGACATTTTTGCTATCGGATTTTCGGTTCGGTTTTTTCAAGCAGTTTTGATCACTAGTCATGGATTTCGATATGATCGGACAAGCTGATTTGATCTTGTTGCACTCTGATTAGTTGGTTGCAAGAGAGATTCCTGATGTTCTGTTTTAGTTCAAGGGTTTTGCTCTTTTGGGTGGTTGCTTTCCGTCTGTGTTTCGTTCTCTGTTGTTGCATTTGTTAAGCATGGGTTCATTGTAACCGAGTGCCTTGTGGCTTTTCCTCTTGTTGGAACAAGAATGTTGGTCCTTTGTTCCTCTTCGTAACTAATAAGGTAAAGTGAAATAAAGATTTTCCTTTGTAATTAAATATATGGTAATATCAATGATATGAAAATGGTATAATAATAGTATGAGTTATCATAGAGGTAAGATCATGGTATTACAATGGTAGATTACAGTATGAAGTCTTATTATAATGGGATGACATTGTGGTACGAAGTTGTACTATAGTGGTATATCATAATATGATAATAGTAAGATAATGAAAAGCATGTGTTTTGAGAATCTCTTTGTTTCACTCGAAATATAGTAAAATGGATATTCTCGTATAGATTATAATTAATACATTGTTTGTACATAGTTTTTAAAAAAAATTAGAGTTAAAACTAATGAGATATAACTCGATTAAAAAGATAGAGACTAGGAAAAGTATACTCTTACTAGTCAAAAATTCCATTTTACTCTTTTGATATTCCTGTATACACCAAAAATGAGGACGAAGAGGCGCTAAAATTACCAGGCTGCCTCTCCTAGTCCCTATAATCATTTTGGGACGTCATTATATGGAAGACTTAAGATGATGAGTTTTCTATGTTTTATAAATCTGAATTTTGTACTAGATCTGCTTTCGTTAAAAAAGGGTGGTTAGATATAAAAATAATCTTTTCTCAATTTGGGTTACCATATAAACATATAAGAAGAGGAGAAGTAGAAGAAAAGAGCGACCCTTTCCTACAAGGAAATGGGCCTAGCCCAGGGGTTTCCTTACAGCGAATATCTTAACCGCTACCGGGCTTTGCTAATTTTATTTTGGGCAGCAACTTCTGTAGCGTTATTGCATATCACTTTTTTTGTACCTGTCGAAATCCCATTTCCCAAGCTGCTTGCAACCAAAAAACAATGTCTACCAACTCTGCTTTAGTAATTGATCCTTCTCCCAAATTGCTCGAGAAAGCTCTCAGCATACGTTCGTCGTCCCGTCTAATAACCCCTCCCGCTGTCGCGTTGCCACTAAGCACCGATCCATCTGTATTAAGACATACCCAACCTGTCCCGGGGGGGAGGGGGGTGCTTTCAAGCAATGAGCCGCCGAGTAGTAGCTTGGCTTCCCGCAAAGACCCGCGCAGCCTTAGCCTCCGCCTCCTCAATTTGTTTCTCCATAGTCACCACTCTGTAGGTTAGTGAGTTTATCGACTCTAGCTCCTTTTCAAACACCAGCTTATTCATGTTCTTCCAAAGAGACCAACGCATCACTGCAAACCTGGTTGGTGCAACATGCAAACTGCGGCCAGCAAGATAGTGTAGGATCCATCTGCTCAAGTCATTTTGGAAGAAAGTTTCATCGGGCTCCTCCTGCAAAAACTCCGCCCAGGCAGCATGAGCATAAGGGCAATCACGTATGACATGCATGGTCGTCTCCTCATCTCCTCCACAAATTTGACAGGTGGCCACGGTGGTTAAGTGCCTCCGTCGCCTTTCACAATTAGTGAGCAGCTTCTGGTGCGCTACAAGCCAAAAGAAAGCTCTAATCCGCTGTGTTGCTGGGAGCCGCCATAGCGTCCTCCACATTAGATACGATTCATCGGGATTCTCCCCCACCTCTGTCAAAGTATATGCCGACTTCAACAAAAAACAGCCATCTGGAGTTAGGCAGCAGACTGCCACATCCTCACCTTCTTCAACTGGGACTGGGTGGAGCTGGATGAGGCTGACTATCTCCTCCTGCAAGAAAGCACGTAGGTAATGCAGGTTCCACTGGCCATTGAGTACCAGCTCGGCTACCGTCAGTGATAATGCCTCTTGCGGGAGATTCATAGCCAAATCGGCTAGAACCGGACCATCATGCAACCACTGACCATCCAGAAGCGGGTGCTTTTACCGTTCTTTATGTTCCACATGATTGCGTCTGGCAGCATGTGCAGGACCCGGAGAACACCGCGCCACAGGTTAGACAAGCGGTCTTGAGTTCTCGGCTGCCATCCCTCCTCTGTTCGTCGAAGGTATTTAGCCCGAAAGACTTTAGCCCATAAGCTCTCGGGTTCAGCCATCAGCCTCCAAGCTATTTTGAGCATAAAGGCTTCATTCACCTTGGTTGCGCATCGAAGCCCAAGACCTCCCTCTTCTTTAGGGCGACAGATAGTTTCCCAATCAATCAGCTGAACCTTCCTGCCTCCCTCCAAACTTCCCCATATAAACGTCCAGATTTTCTATCGATGTAGTCCCTCACACTCGTCGGAAGGAAAGTAGTTTGCATGATATATGATGGCAGCGAGGCAGGGACCGCCTGAGCAAGAGTGATACGTCCTACCAGAGAAAGAGTCTTGCATTTCTAACCTGCAAGCCGAGAGTCTATTTTGTCAACAAGATCAACAAAGGTAGCCTGCGATCATGTATAACTGGAACGCCGAGATAACGGCCCAAGTTCTTCGTTTCCGGGATCCCCCAATGTCGAGGATATATCTGCCCCCTTCGCTGCTGTGATGTTCTTCGAAAAAAACCCCGGGATTTCGGCTTACTGACTTGTTGGCCAGAAGCAGCACTAAAGTCATCCAAGCACTTCATAATGGTCACGACCTGCTGCACGGATGCCTCGCTGAACAGAATCAGATCATCTGCAAAAAATAAGTGTGACAGTGCTGGCCCATTTGCCGAGATTCTAACTGTTTTCCACGCGCCTGCATTAACTGCCGCCTTCACTTGATGACTTAATCGTTCCATACATAAAGTGAACAAATATGGTGAGAGCGAACAGCCCTGTCGAAGTCCTCTCGATGGCGAGAAACTATCATATAGTCCACCATTCCACTGAATCCTCATACTCAACGAGGTTATGCACTGCATCGCAAGAGCAACGAAGTCCCCCGGGAGCCCTGCTGCTTCCAAGGTATTCTGCATAAAAGGCCATTTGATGCGGTCGTATGCCTTTGCAAGGTCAATTTTGAGAATCCTCCACCCCTTGTGGCCCGCTTTAGCTCGCATCGAGTGGACCACTTCCTGCAAAACACAAACGTTATCAGTAATATGGCGCCCAGGGACAAAGCTCGTTTGGGTTTCGTCCACCATTCTGGACATCCAAGATTTTAGCCGCTCCGCCAGGCACTTAGTTATAATCTTGTACGTTACATTGCACAAGCTGATTGGCCGGCACTGCAAGGAAATTGGCCTAGCCCAGGGGTTTCCTTACAGCGAATATCTTAACCGCTGCCGGGCTTTGCTAATTTTGTTTTGGGCAGCGACTTCTGCAGCGGTATTGCATATCGCTGCATCCTTTCTTTTTATTTTTATCTTTTTATACCCAAACTGTTGACAATTTTGGATTAAAACAAAAGTTTCGAACTAATACCTCCTCTATCCTCTGTTGAGCTCTCCTCTCCCCAAAAATAAATTCCTAACTCACAAAAGGTTGAGCGCTCCTAAATCCGCTTCCTTATCACCGTCGGAGCCTAGTTCGCTGGCCCTGCTACGATTGAAAACACGACCACCATCCGAATCCTCCATTAACAACAAGTCCTCCTGCTTCTTCCAAGAAAATCAACATCTGAAATGGAACCACCCTCAGTCCTCAACCTTATCGCTGAATCGCTGTAATGCGTCGTCGCTGCGTGTAGGTCTCATGGCTCCGTGCCTCGCTGACTTGGCCGGATTCAGATCTTTGAGGTGAATGCGACCTCTCCCTTGGCTCGATTGCAGATCATTGTTCTTCTCTACTCTTAATTGCAAATCTATTCTTTCAATTTTTTCTGCTGCTAACCCTAAGTTCACCGACATTATGCATGTCGACGGAGTTGTGGTGGCAAACACTGTTGCTGTAGATTGGTGGCTGTCTGCATCGTTCAAACTTCATTGAGGTAGGTCTCTGGCCCAGAGTAGGCAGTTAATAGCATGAAGCCATTTTTGCTCCCACAACTCTTAGGCGGGTAGTATCCTGTTTTATTGCAGTGGAGTTTATAGTATAGAGTATAATCATTACCCTTGATCTTCTGGCTATAGCATGCTTATGGTTCTAGATCTAGTTGGATAGTGGTAATAATTCGTTGGTATGAGCTTTATCCGGTAGCAGGTAAGGAGAAGTTAAGTGCTTGATTCCTGTAAAAGCTTGAGCCTCTTGTTCTTCTTTTGATCAACTCGATTAAAAAAACAGTACAACTTCTTCCTTTTCCTCCAAGTTTGGGTTATTTTCATTGATTCTAATTTGCCAATCAATATTTTTGTTATTTCACAGTAGGCAAGAGACTTTGCTTGACAGTTTCACCAGCTTATTTACTTAAATCCGGTTGTTGAGTTTGAAGGGATCCCCCAAGGTTGAATTCTTGACGAAGAAAGAGCCCTCTTACATACATTTGGCACAGGTGAAGTATATTTTCCCTGAAGCCATTGAGATAACTAAAGCTCTCAAGGTCAATGAACAAACCGGCTCTATGATCCCTGAGCTCTGTGTCTCTCTGAATGTCGATTATGTTGCGCTGGAGTTCATATTGGAGGAGAGCAGCCTTACATGGCATGAGGAGAAGTCTTTAGAAATTGATTGGCAGATTTATTTGCAGATCACCCTGAGGTAAATCTGCTCTAGTTTAAGCGGTTTTAAACTCAAATTAGACTAGTTAAGCGGTTTTAAAGTCATAAATGGATGTGTAAGCACGTTTATTGATTTTGGAACTTTATTGTGTTTGGTACTTGTTTTTTATTGAAGATTTCTAGGCATAATTCAACTTATCTAGAAGAAGATAATGCTGCCACTTTAAATATGGTTTTTGAGACATGCGAATCTGGATTTTTTAGGATGGTTGTGTAGTTGCTCTTTGTGAAACTTGAGATTCACAACTTTCTATATTGGGCTACTATAGGAGTTCCTGTGAAGAATCTGCATCGAGCTTTTTGTACTATCCTAAAGGAGTGAAGTGGTAAGTTCACTCCTCGCCTATTTCCTTCCTCTTCCTTCAAATTTGCTTATCAAGTTAGTCCGCCAAGTTACAGAAATTTCTATTTTGTGTTGATAAACTTTCATAACTTCAATTAACAGACAGTGAAGTATGTTAGTACCACATCTATCATTAGAAAGATAGGTATCGAGCACTAAATTGTACCATCTAAAACAAATTATTGTTTCTTTGATCATGAATCATATTAAGGAAAAGGAGGCCTGAGGCTTGATCATGGATCATACCAATGTCAGAAGCTTTCTCGGTCTGTAAAACCTATGTTCATCATCTAGAGCACTGTTGGTCAAAACTTGTTTGAATCAAAGTTCACCAATGAAGGGGGATTTGACTGAGATATGAATCAGTATGAGTTGTATTGTGCATGCTCCATGCAGGTCTCCCCAACTCTAACATCACTTGTCAATCCCACTCATACCTTTCAACTGCTACATTCCAGGTATGAATTAATTAATTATTCTTCATGTAGGGAATTTGCTATATGTGTTACTTATTAATTGAAAGAAAGCTTCAAAAAGGGATAACCCATTGCTTTTCTTTCTTTATCTCGTCCAGGAGTATGGGCTGTAAATAATGTTGTTCACAAGTCACTACTTGGTAGGTATGTAGGAGCAAGAGATTGACTGGGTTTTGAAGCTTGATTCCATTAACGACGCCATTAGCAGTCTGTGGAAGAAGATAAACTTTCTGGTGTTCATTACCTGGGCCTGGTGGTACAAAACAAGACCTGAAAATGGGTATATATGCATCTATGCTTTAACAATGTGGACCAAATAGGTAGATGCAACATGAATGCAGAAAAAACAATCATCTTCTTTCAAGGAGCTTCTCCTTCTCATTACAAGTAAAAAGCATTCCCTGGGCTATATATAATCTGATTTCACTCCTATCCTGTCATCTATGATTTTTTGTATGCTTATCGTTGGACAGCAGTGGCATAGAGTGGGGGAAGCCAGGATTAAGAGACTGCCCCCATGAGACAGATCCAGTACTACTATCCACTTTAAATCTCGCCATTGATGATTGGAACCAACTTCTCTACACTACTATTCTAGATCAAGGTTTGGCACAAGCATGATTCTTTTAGATCAGATGTCAGTACAACTTGGTGTCATTAATTAGTATATTTATTTTGATGCAAGTACAAATCAAAGTACACTGGTGGTCAAACTCAAAACTTGGTTGAATCAAAGTTCATCTTTTGGAGTTGCGCTGCTTTGAACCCAGCTTGGCTCAAGGCTAATCATAATAGGCCCATGGATGAGACTTGTTGGTCCAACATGCTATCAAGGTAATCTTAGTGTATTTTCCTTCCTTCCCCTGCATCTTAGGTGATATGTGGCTTTGTAGCTATAGGTGTAGGTGGTATGATTGGGCTGCAATCTAAGAACTGTACAGACCTGTGGCATCATCAAGAAGATGAATCTTGGTGATTTTGGTTTCTGTTGATGCTAGATTGGTTTGGTTTGATTGCAGGTTTTATGCAGGTGTAGTAGTCTTTTCCTTATGCAAGGCGTCAAGTTACAGCCACGGCATGCTATGTCTCCCAATGAGACAGCTCGATTATAGCCATGTTGGTGTGCATCAATCAACTAGGTTAATATCGAATCCCAGAGTAAGAATAAACGATCTCCCAATATGGGTAGTGCCTGCTAGTTTGAGTGTTTGTATTTCAGTATTCTGGAGCTGAAGCAATTTCGATCCATGAAGTTTCCAATATCCTACTTCATATGGGCCTAACAGTGTCAATGTATTAATATTGTTAATGTACTTTTGCAGGTGCCATCTATAAATCTTGATGCATAATTGAGTTGCATGACAACATAAAGGTAACAATTGAGGCTTCTATTCTTTTTGTGACATGTTTTTGTGCTAAATTGTAAGTGAAACTAAACAAGAAGCTGATTGTTAATGATATGATTGTGGAATCCATAGGGCAGCAAAGGACAATGTTCATAAAAACTCAAAGCACACTGAATCCATCATCTCTAACGTTCTATCCTAGGTAACCAGTGATGGAAGTTGGAGTTCAGATTTTCCAAATGCTAGTGCAACCATGACTTCTCAGCTAGCTAAATCACTGTTTGGTATTGATGGTAAGCTTCTTTGAAATGGTACCCCTTAGTTTTACTTGTGTGAGTTCTAATTTCCAACGATTCGTGTTCTATTTCTTATTCAATTCCTTTCCTGACATTCTTTGTTGCACATTCAGATGTTAGATTGATGAAATACGTGACTGATTGGATTATGAGATTCTCTTTTGTGTTAACTAATTGAACTAAAGATTGTGTATTAGACTGGAGCTAATGTTTTCCCTAGAATTGAGGGACTGATCATATATGATATTTGTTTGGTTGGCCTTGTAACAGGTTAGGATGAGTTTCAAAAGAAAGTTGTGCAATATATGGTGTGGGTGATTCGGAAGAAAGCCAAGTTTGATATTGTGGTGCTCTTAATAACTTGCTTTTTGCTCAAGTCTGACATTATTCCTTTGGTTGTGAGCTATTTGTTGAGCTTATATTTTGTCAATTTCCTTTTGATAATTTGTAATGTGTACTGAGAAGGGAAGTTGGCAATTTGTGGCACGGATAATACCTAAGAAATGGGAAGGTGATCAGCAGGTATTCGTTTTGAATGTTTTAGCGGCGCATTCCGTTTCGTCGCTAAAACCGTCGTTAAATCTATTTTACAATGGTTTGAGTGAGCTATGGAATATTTTGGAACAAAATGACTCGTAACAGGGGTCTTAAATCGTTGCAAAAAGACTAAATCGTTGCTGGAAAAGCTCACGAGCAATTACAAAAATTCTAATAGCGACGGTTTGACCCACAGCAAAAACTGTCCCAAGAACATCCACCAGGGGTTGTTCTGAACGCTGGCATACATTTGCGCCAGTTCTCTTTGCTGGGGTTACCAAAACCGTTGTCGGGCAACTTAGCGACGGTTTTTTCCGTCGCCAAAGGTTAAAAAAACCCCTGTTGTTGGCAGTTTTGTTTGTAGTAGCTTCCTTTCTCCCAATTCGACGGGACTACTTGCATAGTTAAATGTTGGAGAAATTTCCTCCTCTCCTATAGGTTTGTTGGAATTAAATTTTTTAAAACAATAGATTTTTCCCAAATCCTTGAGATTTCTAGCACCATATTGGATCCCATTTGGTTGTCCACCTTGCATATGAATCTTAGCACAATGAAGACACATGAAGGAAGTGCAATCGATCCTATTAGTCTATCAATTAAGCTCATTTGCTATTCATAAATTCTACAATTGTATTGTTGATGCATATGAGATGGTGACTTAATCATAATGTCTTGATTTTTCATTTTTTAGGAGATTCTCAAATGGCCATCAGAGATGGTACAGAGAGGAAGTCTACCAATTTTATAATTGGCAAAGGAAGTTATTTTCTCTCTTCTCTTTCCTTGTGTCAGTTGGGTGTCATTTTGTTCTTCAAAATTTTAAAAGAGCTACTCATCTAGTGACAAAAACACATACTATTTTATTGAACATCCGGTTACATACGGACTACCGTTTTTTTTTATTATTTTTGGATTTGTATCTTTGTTATCCGACCAGCCATTGTGATGGGGCTGGATTGAAAACAAAAAAACTTTGTAGAGTTTCGGTTGTAGGTGTATATAAGGTAGGTAGGTAGCATTTAAAGGCATACGGTAGACGTCAGTACATTTCAGAAACATGGAATGAGGAGGTTCTAAGTAGGGCTGCAAACGAGCCGAGCTGAGCCGAGCTTTTGCCCAGCTCGGGCTCGAACTCGAGAGAGGATAACTCAGCTCGGGCTCGGCTCGAACTCGATACGAGCTATACAATTCAAGCTCAAGCTCGGCTCGAAAGGAAAAATTTGAGCTCGGGCTCGACTCGAGCTCGACTCGATTCTAGCTCGCAAATGAGCTCAACAAGCCAAAATCAGCGAGCCAAAATCCTTTGAAGCTTTTGATCAAATCTCGGCTTGACCAAACCTGAAAGTTTCTCTAGTTTTAACAAAATATATAATCATTCACACATTTAATATCAAATTACAACCTGTTTGATTACAACCATGATTGATTACTTAATAGGGTCTTCAAAATAACATGTTACCGTCTCCTGTGAAGTTACAATCATGGAAATGACTAACAACTAGACCCAAAACATAGATACGAAGGGTTTCTTAAAGACCACCAAGAAAAACAAGATAAGCAAAAGACATCTTGAAGGCAACGACACATGTTGCAGCCTGCATGTAATTTCTTCGTGCAAATGACCACCTGAATAAAAAAAAGTAATAGAGAACATTATAATCAAAGCAAAAATAAGATAACAAACAATTACACATTAAGTGCAACAAAGTTGCAGTGAGCCTCGCCCCATACCCATTTTAGGGTTAAGCTGGAAAAAAAAAACAATTATTCAACCCACAAAAAGATAAAGGACAACTATTGTGAGAGACAGAGGAAAGACATGAATTTTTTATTACGCTGTTCTTATTACAGCCCCAAATAATTAATACTTTTCTTACTACACTACATCATAGCAAGAAGAGAGAGGTAGAAGAGAAAGCAAGGACTAAAGAATTCGACAAAGGTTAGCACAGAAAAGGAACAACGAGAGAAACTAACCAAAACACCTTCATTAAGACAAGTCAACTTCAACAACTTCCTCTTTCTTGGTCAGAGCCTACAAAGATACAAAAAAGATAAATTTATACCAAATAAACTATAAGAATAAATTGGAAATTAAAAAATATAGTAAAAAGTACCTTAACACTCTTTTTCAAACCATAATAGTTTCTTAACCAATCTTGAGAACAAAGTAGAGCTTGAACAGTTTTTTTCCCCAATGATGCACGATTTGGATCAATCACTCTTCCCCCGGCACTAAAAGCAGCTTTCGAGGCAACCGAGGTTATAGGAATTGCCAAAACATCACAAGCCATCCTTGACAAGACCTTATACCTCATACGTTGCTCCTTCCACCACTCAATAACATTAAGGTCGCAATCATCCGGATCAATGTAAAGACCATCCTCCAAATAAATATCCTTCCATTCAACGATAACTAATTCAACTTCAAATCATAGCAACAGTCCATTTTAAAAAAGTCATACCAACAGTTCATTTAGAAAAGCAAAGTCAGAGCAACAACTACAATATGTGATGATGTGTGTAGTGTAACTCAAAGACAATAAATCGCCTATGTGGATATTGTATCATTAATTCATATAATTAAAGAGTAATTTGTATTTAATCAATCTATAATTTATTTATTTATATTACAAAATATATGCAACAACTATTTGGCCACCGCGTATACAAAATATCAAGCCACATTAAATTGAGATATATGTAGTCCAAGTGTCTAACCAACCTATGAGTTAAATGACTAGTAGTAGGCCAACATAGGAGCTCTGTACAAAGCAGCTTATCGAATTTCCTTGCGAGTCACACAGTCAAGTTGACTAGTGAACTTAAATTGACTCGTCAGCCACATTAGCAAGAGAGCTACCTTGTGTGAGCTAACACGCGAGTCACACTATCGAGTCAGCTTGCGAGCTTCAAACGAGTCAGCTCGCGAGCTTAGCTCAACGAGCATCGATCCGAGCTAGCTTGCGAGCCTGCTCGAGTTGCAGATGCCTTGGCTCGTGCTTGGCTCGTTAATAAATGAGCCAGCTCACGAGCCAGCTCATTAAGAATCGAGCCGAGTGTCGAACGAGTTTTTATCGAACTGAGCCTCGAGTTGCTCGCGAGTAGCTTGGCTCGTTTGCAGCCCTAGTTCTAAGTTATTTGTTTGTTCCCCGGAGGAAGGAAGGATTGAGTGTGCGTGTGGTTGTTATTTGGTGTTGATCTGGCACCGAGGGGGAAAAGAAAGATAGAATAGAATGATCCAAGGCCCAAGTGACGCAAGTCGGGCCCAATCGGGTGGGTCGGCTTTGCAATTTGCATTGCAAAAGAGAAGAGTGGGAGTTTCGGATGAATATGAGGAAAATGAAGGGAAAAGGCCAAGTGGCGCACCTGAAAATCAGGCGTGGAGGAGAAGACAGATGACAAGCAGATAGGCGATCCACGTCACGTTTGCATTGCAAACCACGGGGTGGCGGGTGGGACCCACTCAGGCGTCGTCCAGTTGTCTTGTTTGTACCCAAACCCAACCCATTGAGATTGACAAAGTTTCAATCATCTCTCTAGCTAAGCTACCTACTCACCTCTTCCATTTCCGTCCAATACGGCCCGGGATTTGGATACTGATGAATAGCTAACTTACCCGACACGTCTTTTTTGGATCATATACTTACTTGTGCTGGCCAAGGGCTAAATGTATCCACAATTTTTATTTATTTTTTTTAATATCAACCAAACATTACCATCTTTTTTTTCCTCATAGATATAAGGAGGCAGAAGTAGGAAATTCAAGTAGATTCATTCACAATGGGTTGGGTATGGGTGAAGTGCATATGGATTTGGGAGTTTGTAAATGGGTTTGGGTAAGGTATGACTATTGTTTTCATAATCTAAATGCGTATGGTTGGATATGGATATCCATTTATTTGAGGGTGTTTTAACTACACATGCAAAAATTGGACCTATTTGTAAAACTTGAAAAGCTTAGGTACCAAAATGTAAGACAAAAAATATTTAGGTACCAAAATGTAATTTTTCATCTATATTTTGAGGACTTATATGCAAAAAAAATTAGGCACTAAATATGCTTATATATGAAGTGTAGGTACCAAACTGTAATTTGCATTTGAGTATGGATGCAAACCCAAATTCATTTGTTATAAACTCAACCTAACCCAAATAAATGGGTATGAGTACAAATCCATCAAAGTCTACTCATATCCATCTATTTGGATTTCATACCCAACTCAATTGGATTGGATAATAATAACCTATAGGTATGGCAAAATCAGAAGTACATATAAATTACCATCGTTTGATCATAAACAAAATGGTCGACAAGAGATATAAAATTTTATTGAAATTATTTTCGAAACAAAGTGTCTATATACATCCCACATCTCTGCCGCCCACTGTGTCCAACCAATGATGTTAATTGGTGTGATTGCATATCAATGGTGTCGTACTGCTAATTTCCATTATTATTATTATTATTAAGAAGATGCATGTAATGTAAGTTGTAACGTCACTAATACGATAATGAATTAATGATATGGGAGTAATTTGGCTGACACATTTTTGGGGAACTAAACCCTTCCTAGTACGAGTGGACATAGGATTGTAAATGAGTCGAGTTATTCGCGAGCGGCTCGACGTTCGACTCGGAAAAAGCTCGTTCGGAACTCGGCTCGTTTATTAATGAGTCGAACTTGAGCTTAGCCTTCTGCAACTTGTGGAGCTCGCGAGCTAGCTCGACTCGGTGGCTTGTTGAGCTCAACTCGTGAGTTGGCTCGTTAAGAGCTCATGAGATGTCTCAACTCTCAAGATTGTGGCTAGAGAGTCAACTCGATTACCGAGTTATGAGCGAACCGATCTATATGAGTTTGATTTTAATAATTCATAGGATTGTTTAATTATATATCTCACTCTATATGAAGTTTAACACGTAGATTATGTAAGCAAATATGTTTTATTTAATTTTAAAAAGCAATTATGTATCATAGAT